AGCGAAAGTCCGTCTCAAAAAAAAAAAAAAAAAAAAAAGAAAATTAAAGTCATATCAAATATCTTTTCTGACTACAACTGTATGAAAATAGAAATCAATAACAGGAATAAAATTAGAAAATTCATAAATAAGTGGAAATGAACTAACACATACCTGAACAAGCAAAGGATTTAAGAGGGCAGTTAATGACAATAAATGCCTATATGAAGAAAGAAAATCACAAGGAAACACCTTCACACTGCACCTTGTGGACTTAGAAGAACAACAAACTAAGCCCAAAGAGATGAAATAATAAAAACCAGGACTGAAATAAATGAAATAAGAAAAATAATAAAAAAGGAAACTAAAAAGTTTTCTGAAAAGATGAACAAACCTTTAGATAGACCAAGAGGTGGAAAAAAAAAAAAAGAAGCTGGGCACAGTGGCTCACATCTGTAATTGCAGTACTTTGGGAGGCTGAGGTAGAAGGATCACCTGAGTCCAGGAGTTCAAGGCCAGCCTGAGCAACATAGCAAGATCGTTATCTGTACAAAAAATATTTTTAAAAATAGCTGGGGCTGGGGGCATGGTGGCTCAAGCCTGTGATCTCAGCACTTTAGGAGGCCAAGGTGGGCAGAATGCTTGAACTCAGGAGTTCGAGACCCGCCTAGGCAACACAGTAAAACTCCATCTCTACGAAAAAATACAAAATTAGCTGGGCGTGGTGGCACATACCAGTAGTCCCAGCTATTCAGGAGGCTGAGGTAGGACAGCTTGAGCCCAGGAGACAGAGGCTGCAGTGAGCCAAGATCGTGTCAGTGCACTCCACCTGGGCAATATAGCCAGTGCTTGCCTCAAAAAAAGAAAAAAATTAGCCAGGCATGGTGGCACAAACTTGTAGTCCTAGCTATTCAGGAGACTGAGGTGAGAGGATCACTTCAGCCCAGGAGGTCAAGACTGCGGTAAGACATGATTGTAGCATTGCACTCCAGCACAGGCAAGAGCAAGACCCTGTTAAAATAAAATAAAATAAAATAAAGAAAGAAAGAAAAGAAAAAAGAAAAAACAACACTCAAAATCAGATGTGAGAGGGGAAACATTACAACTGATAACTACAGAAATATAAAGGATCATAAAAGACTACCTGGAACAATTACATCCTAACAAACTGGATAACCTAGCAGAGATGTACAAATTTCTAGACACACATAACCTACCAACACAAAATCCTAAAAAGGAGAAAATATGAATAGACGAATAATGAAGGAGATCGAATCACTAGCTAAAATCACCCGTAAAACAAACACTGAGGACTTGACTGCTTCATGGGTGAATTATGTAAGACATATAAGAATATCTAAACTAGGCTGGGCGCGGTGGCTCACACCTGTAATCCCAGCACTTTGGGAGGCCGAGGCGGGTGGATCACGAGGTCAAGAGATCGAGATCATGGTGAAACCCCGTCTCTACTAAAAAATACAAAAATTAGCTGGGTGTGGTGGCGCGTGCCTGTGGTCCCAGCTACTCAGGAGGCTGAGGCAGAAGAATTGCTTGAACCCAGGAGGCGGAGGTTGCAGTGAGCAGAGATTGCGCCACTGCACTCCAGCCTGGAGCCTGGCAACAAAGCAAGACTCTGTCTCAAAAAAACAGAAAATAAAAAATAGTATCTAAACCAAACCTTCTGAAATTATTCCAAAAAACTGAAGATGCTACAAAGAAAGAAACGTATAGGCCAATATCCTTAATGTACACAGATGCAAAAATCCTCAACAAAATATTAGCAAACTGAATTCAACAGTACATCAGGCTGGGTACAGTGGCTCATGCCTGTAATCCCAGCACTTTGGGAGGCCGAGGCAGGGGGATAACAATGTCAGGAGTTCAAGACCAGCCTGGCCAACATGGTGAAACCTCATCTTTATTAAAAATACAAAAATTACCCAGGAGTGGTGGCGAGGGCCTGTAGTCCCAGCTACTTGGGAGGCTGAGACAGGAGAAATGCTTGAACCTGGGAGGTAGAGTTGCAGTGAGCTGAAATTCCATTGCACTCCAGTCTGGGCAACAGAGAAGACTCTCTCTCATTAAAAAAAAAAAAAAAAAAAAAAAAAAAAAAAAAAAAAAAAAAAAAAAAAAAAAAAAGGTACATTAAAGGTATCATTCATAATAATCAAGTGGGATTTATCCCTGGAATGCAAGGATGGTTCAACATGTGCAAACCAATCAATGTGATTAACATCACACTAACATAATAAAGTATAAAAATCCTATGATCAGACCGGGCACAGCGACTCACGCCTGTAATCCCAGCACAGAGGCTGAGGTGGACAGATCATGAGGTCAGGAGATTGAGACCATCCTGGCCAACATGGTGAAACCCTGTCCCCACTAAAGTACAAAAAATTACCTGGGCATCATGGTGGGCACCTATGGTCCCAGCTACTCAGGAGCCTGAGGCAGGAAAATCAGTTGAACCCAGGAGGTGGAGGCTGCAGTGAGCCAAGATCGTGCCACTGCACTCCAGCCTGGGTGACAGAGCAAGGAAAAAAAGTGTTAAAACATTAACCAAAAATATTTTTGTGTTGTTGAGACAGTCTCGCTGTGTCACCCAGACTGAAGTACAATGGTGCAATCTCAGCTCACTGCTTCCTCCACAGCCAGGTTCAAGTGATTCTTGTATCTCCCTAGTAGCTGGGATGACAGGTGCACACTACCACACCCAGCTAATTTTTGTATTTTTAGCAGAGACTTTGATCTCCCAAAGTACCGGGATTACAGACATGAGCCACCACGCTCAGTCCCAAGATTTGTAACCTCAAGTGAGTTGAGAAAAATGTTCAAGTATCTTAGCACAGGAAGGATCAAGTACTCCTTCCATTCATTTTTTAAAAAAACATTGAGCTACCATTCTCCATGGAGTTGGCAGGGGCAGGGAGCATCAGCACTAAACCGGATAGGAGGCACCTCGCAAGGTGTAGTTGGTGCAAATATACAAAAGAGGAGCCCAATTCTATTGCCAGGGTCCCTTCTTCAAATCACAGTCACTTGAATGTGCACTAAGTAGTGCCAACTTCGCATGAACAAATGACCCCAGATCCTGGAGAACAGGATAATTACCCCTCTTCCTGGGATCATGGCTGGTAAGCAGTATCCTGAGGTGCATTACTGGGACTAGCACAAGATCCAAACTTTATGACAAAGACTCTTGGCCAACACTTGGAAGGGGCAACAAAAAGCACAGCGTAGCAATACACATAAACTCCAACAAAACAGGCAGCCTTCCCAAATGGCAAAGCCAACCAGCAAACCACGAAGTCAAATGGCACTTATAAGAGACTTTCTACCCCAGTTCAAAATGATCTCACCCTTTTCACCAACTGTGTTGTAAATGAGGCAGTAAGTCCCTCTCGTGGGATCTTTTAGCATCCCTCCAACACCCTCCTGCAATTACAATTGGAGAGGTTCAATAAATTAAAGGATTTATGACACTCATAGATTCTAGGGAGGGAGACGTGCCATGCCTTCAGGGGGCCATGCTGGAGGCAGACCAAAGCAGGAGGCTCTGACAAGCAGTTAGGAAGTTGAGAGAGGCCTCCCTTAAGGGCAATTGCCTTTATTGGGGCTTGAGGTATAGTACTAAAGCAAAAGGCATGTGATTTCATTGTTGCATTTGAATGTTACTAGGTCACAGTCAGGGGAGGGCCAACAGAAGAACTTGTAGCAGGGACCCGCCTTAACACACTTGTCACTTGAGCAGGGAGCTCACAGACTGTTAGAATGCTGAGGCATCAAGAAACTAAATTTTTGGCCGGGTGCGGTGGCTCACGCCTGTAATCCCAGCACTTTGGGAGGCCGAGGCAGGTGGATCATGAGGTCAAGAGATCAAGACCATCCTGGTCAACACGGTGAAACCCCGTCTCTACTAAAAATACAAAAAATTAGCTGGGCATGGTGGCGCGTGCCTGTAGTCCTGGCTACTCGGGAGGCTGAGGCAGGAGAATTGCCTGAACCCGGGAGGCGGAGGTTGCGGTGAGCCGAGATCGCGCCATTGCACTCCAGCCTGGGTAACAAGAGCGAAACTCTGTCTCAGAAAAAAAAAAAAAAAAAAAGAAACTAAATTTTTTAAAACGTACAGTGTAATCAGGGAATAATGACAATATGGAACCTGGAATGGAGACATCTGGTTGGACCCAGATGAAAGTCATGATCTTAAACCCCTGCTATGATTTGGATGTGGTCTGTTTCCATCAAAATTCCTGTTGAGGCTTGGTCCTCAATATCACAGCACTGGGAGGAGGGGCCTAACAAGAGATGTTTGGGTTATGGGGGCAGATCCCACATGAATAGATTAATGCTGTCAGGCAGAAGTGAATTTTAGCTCTCACAGGACTGGATTAGTTCCCACAAGACCTAGTCATTATAAAGCAAGGCTGCTGTTTGTGTTTGGTCCCTTCTGCACAAGCCTGCTTCCCCATCTGGCTCTCTACCATGTTTTGTTGCAGCATGTGAGCCTAATAAGAAGCAAAGCAATAAAAAAAAAGAAGCAGAGCAGATGCTGGGGCCATGCTCTTGGACTTTCCAGCCACCAGAATCCTGAGCCAAAGAAACCTCTTTTCTTCATAAATTACTCAAGTATTATATCATAGCAACAATAAAGAGACTAACCACAACCTAAGACACTTTGAGCCTTTGGTTTTTGAGGAGAAAGCCTTCATCTTGAAATCTGTGTGACAATCTCACTTGGTCCAGATACCTTAGAAGATAATATATATTCTCCTCAAGACCCACACCAAACCACACCAAACCACTTATTGCTGTCACTGGAGTCATAACTAGTCCAAAATCCAGGGGCAAAGATATGCAACATAATACAAGAGAAAAAAGCTCACACAACAAAATAATTTCAACTCTGATAACATGTATCAGAAGAAACCCAGGAACATGTAAGGGATGGATTCTAAGGAAATTAGACCAAGAAGGTTAAAATGTAACACTAGATAGGCCCAAATTCATTGATATGGGCACTGGTATGATTTGGATCTGTGTCCCCACCAAATCTCATGTCAAACTGTAGTCCCCTGTGCTGGAGGTGGGGCCTGGTGGGAGATGATTGGATCATGGGGGGCAGATTTCTCATGAATGGTTTAACACCATCCTCTTTGGTACTATCCTCATGATAATGAGTGAGTTCTCATGAGAACTGGTCATTTAAAAGTGTATAGC